CAGAGAAGTTACACGAATAAAGTTTTACAATGAATGCTTGCAGTCCCACTGCTTTCCTCGGCATCTCATGAAGTCACTCCGTAGTTGCAAATTGCCACCCTCTCTCAAAAACCTCCGACGCATTACGAAATCGCATATTGAATCAACAGAATCTCTGATTGCAAAATTGAGAAATGAAGCCAGATCCTTTGACGGTGTCGTCAATAGTTTGAACATAGTTTGCCGGATCAAATTCATCAATTTCATTCAAGAGCTTCAACAGAAAACCTGTGAAAATTTTTATAAAACCCTGACGAAATCCCTGACAAAGGAAAAAATATATGAAGTCTTCCCAGAAAATCCTGAGGATTTTGTATATAATCTGTCGAGTGTGAATTTAAGCCGCATAGAAATGGAAGTGCTTTCCCTCGGATTTAACTTCCATATCCCGAATAGCTTTGTCAATAGAACCGACGTCACAGCTCAATTCGAAAACCTATTCTATCAGCTGAATGATCTTACTCCAGTTGATGAAGACAAGAAGAGCTGGTTCAAATCTAAGCTGGTCGACGTTGCAAATCAATACCTCATCTCACCAACGTCATATTCAAAAGTCCTCTCTGAAGAACATCAAAAAGCATTGAAAGCTCTTAGAAATAATGACAAAATTGTCATACTGCGACCTGACAAAGGCTCAGGAGTGGTAGTGATGGATAAAGATGACTACGTCGCAAGGATGAAAACTGTGCTCAGTGATCCGTTGAGGTTCAAAGTCGACGACTGCCAGAAAGACAAGACAGATGCAACCGAAAAACGCATCACAAACGTATTGAGAGATCTTCTAAAGAAGAAATTGATTGACAACAACACGTACAATGAATTGAAACCCCGAGGGTCCCGCTTGCCATATATGTATGGCCTTCCAAAGACACACAAGAAAGAAGTCCCTCTGAGACCTATACTTTCGATGATCAACTCTCCCCAACATAAGGTTGCCCGTTGGCTCGCGGAGAAGTTGGAACCCATTCGCCAAAGGCTGGCCGCGCACACCATAAAGGACTCATTTCATTTTGCTGAAAGCGTGAATCACATGAACGTTTCAAATAAGTTCATGGCTTCATTTGATGCAACCTCCTTGTTCACAATGATCCCAATCAATGAAACCATTGAAATCATTTGTCAACAGTCTGATCTTCTCCCACTACCAGAGCCGGAATTCAAACGCCTACTGCTGATGTGTACCATGGATGTACAATTCCAGTTTGACAACACTCTTTACCGACAAATAGATGGTGTAGCTATGGGCAGTCCACTTAGCCCTGTTTTAGCAGATATCTTTATGTCAAACCTTGAGAAAACAAAGCTGAAGCATGCAATTGATCAAACAACGTCCTATTGTCGATATGTCGATGACACATTTGTAGTATGCAACAATGAAAGTCATGCCTCCTACCTACTCAGACTATTCAACAACGCACATACAAATATTGTATTTACTATGGAACATGAAAATGATGGACAGTTCCATTTCCTTGACGTCGCCATAAAACGCCTAGAAGATGGTAGCCTCCAGAGGTCAATCTACCGAAAGCCCACATGGAATGGACAATACTTACATTTTAATAGTTTTTGTCCAAATAGCTATAAACGAGCACTTGTCAAGACTCTGTACTATAGAGCGAGGAGAATATGCTCTGCAGAGAAACTAGAGGAAGAATTCACGAATCTCGAAAAGGTGCTGAAAAACAACGGCTATACTCAAAAATTCATTAACAAATATGGAAGATGTGAAGGCCCAAATACCAAACAAATCACAGTCGAAAAAAAGCCTGTCTTCATTCAACTAGACTTTAAAGGTGAAGACATTGCAGAAATGGTCAACAGAAGACTGAGGACGTCACTAGCCAGAGCCTATCCTGCAGCTAAGTTGGTTCCCGTCCACCGAACAACATGCTCTTTGGTGCAGTCAAAAGTCGATAGATACCCTTCTCATGTTAACTCCAACTGTGTATACAAATTTACGTGTATCTGCGGGAGCAGTTACATTGGGAGAACAGAAAGAAGGGCACACCTCCGATTTTCTGAACATGTGCCGAAAAGCCTACGTCTCAAGGGAACAAATTCTTATAGCAGCGCTATTACCAGACATCTCCTCGACACGGGTCATGAGGTGGAAATCGAGAAATCCTTCAAAATTATCAATAGACAAAGGAGCTCCATTCTCCTCAAGTTTGCCGAAGCAATTTCTATAAAACGCTTGAAACCAGATCTATGTGTTCAGAAAGAATCAGTTATTAGTCTTTCCTTGCCTTGGTAACTGGATGTCTTTTTTCTCCCATCTGATTGCGTAATCTTTGTCTTTATTTAACCTCACCCTCTTTTGTAATTTTGCTTGTCTCTTGTTTCTATGATTTGAGTTCAACTCAGTACATTGTTACCTAACTTATTAGTCACTTTGCATCTCTCATCTGATTGTGTAATTTTGTCTTTAACCTCACCCTCCTTTTATAATCTGTAATTTTGTTTGTCTCTTGTTTCTATGATTTGAGTTCAACTCAGTACATTGTTACCTAACTTATTAGTCACTATGCATCCAACGCACATCCCTTACCATTATATACATACATTTATTTATTATTTTTTAACTTGAACTGCCTGTGTAAAAACTATATAAGCGCAATTTTCTGAGCACTGTTTACTAGTTGTGAAACTTTCTGTCAACATGTAAAATTTGCAAGTACGTTAAAACGTTTCTGTACTTAAACCTGAAAATTTATTTAGGCTGTAAGCAGCTGACGAGAAGCCAACGAAATAAATGATGGTACCATGTTATTCTGCACAAATCAATGTTGTTCTCGCTTTATTCAAAGATAAGAAAGTGTCGGCATTTCGTGGAATCGTTTATTATTTGACTGCAAAGGTTGGGACTTTGTGAAAAGGAGTACACTTCTTTCCGTCCTTCCCTTTCTTCACACTGGTTCTTGATTTTATTAATAGGGAGATTATTTTATTATATCAACCAAAATTTATTAGGCTTTGTTCTGATTGCAAGAAACTGATCTCTACGTTCTACTGTATCGCTGACAAAACTTCGTTGAGACAGGCGTGATCACAAAACGTCCCAAACTTAGTAAAAATAGACGGCTATTCTTTAATATTTTAGCAGTTCTATTAAACAGTATTAAGTACGAACTCAAACACACCTCAGCAGTGCCGTGAGGTAGCTATGCAGGTAAGATCTGTTTCTAAATACAAAACAAGTACTATAACACATAATTAGTTAACCAAAGTTCACCTGCAAACAAATATCTTAGAATCGAGCAGAATATTCCCAACGACCAAAAGCTCTATCCATAAGACTCACAGCCTAAGGATTCAACAAGGCAGTTCTAGCTTGGAATGATCTTCATTCACTCAAACAAACTCATATTGGTGGACAACACACTGTAAATGTGCACACACCTACAAAGAAGAATTGCAATTAGAGGTTAAATGAGGAAAAAAGCAAATAATAAAGGTTAATAACCAGCATATCATATGCGGATGTCAAATCGAGGATACATAGTCTAGTGGAAAACCGTAAAATAACTATAAAGTCGTTTGAAATGTCGAAATAAGTATAAACATAATAAGTCCATCATCAAGGAGGGATTTTCTAAACATTTTGTCCAAATGCAAGGGGTGTTTCGCTCCCTTCTACTCTTGGAGATATTTGAAGTCTGAAAGTCACAGTTGGGGATTATTCTTGATGGGGAATGCATTAAACTACATTTCTGAGTTCAATTCAGGCATGTTATATCTTGCTTATTCATTTCTTCATGTTCAGAATGAAAAGATGGGACTTCAAGCTCCTAGCTTTCAGCTTTCATCAGCAGTTTGATGGAGTTGAGGTCATTAACTTCCTTCATTTCCGCGTTCACTAACGACTAGGCGAGTATTAGGGACACATCGACCGTGACTGGAACCTAGACGACGTGTGTTGGTGGAGAGGATTCTACTCCTGAACCATCGTTACACCTAAAAGTTTTTCATTTAAATCTATCTGGTCTAAATATATCAGTTTGAAAAAGTCGTCTTTTATATCAGTATATTGAACTCTGAATGATTATAATTTGTATTAATTTCTCCATGGTAACTCTATTTCAAGTGTTAACATGTCAGTTGATGAGTACTATTCTCTTCTCAATTGTGTTGGCAAATTACCACTCACTTATCGGGAACACTGTTGTTAAAGTTCATTTTGTTCGTATGTATGTTAAACTTGCAAACTGGTAAAAGTGGTCATTTTTGCACAATATTCAACCGAAAAGTCTCAAAGAAATGTATGGGTTCGTAGTATTCGTTTCTGATAAATAATGCCATTGACGAAAGCCATCCAAACTAATTATCACTTGCTAGTTCTGTGTTTGCCCATTGTAGTGTATGTGTTCTCATTTCACTCCGTTCTCTCTTGGAAACTTATGACTTCAATGATCATTGATGCTTAGTAGAAAACATTTTAATTTTCTCACTTCACTATCCTCAAGCAGTCGATAGCTAAACAGAAGACACAACTAAAATGCACTCACTTTATTCCGTCTTTTTCTGGTTACCCAAGAAGAAATCGGCTTCCACGGTGTGAGCAGATGAGAAGTGATAAAATCACACACACACACACACACATCCATATGCCATACCTTCTTTCCTTGTCAAACATGTATTTGACATAGTGAGTGGCAATTGAAAGTAGAATTAGAACCTGGTTCAAGATAGGTGCAGAACCAGTGGTATTCGAATCACTAGTTTGACGCCCTACCAGATGAGCTACCAGAATTGAAAATGCCATGCAAAGACTTATCATTTGAATCCTGATGGAATGGAATGCTCCGCTTTTTGACTGATTTGAGTAAGGTAGTATAGAAAGCTTTGTTTCAAACACCTCATCGTACTTTTTCACTTTACTATGAAATTTAGTAAGCACGAATATACGCACATACACATAATAGAAGCTTTCTACAATTTCTTTTTCTGATTACTCACAGATCCTCTGGAGCAAAGGCAGTTTCTATATGGCATTGAAACGAGAATTCGTACACTTCTATCAAACTGACCCAAGAGCGAATGAAATACTCGATGCTATGAAAGCAGAAAGACACCTGCAGAAGCATCCAGATGAATTGTTCTTCCCAACGCTAACCCACGATCCATCGCTCGGTGCACCAGCTGCTTGCAACGAAATTCATGAAACTAATTATTCAGATAGACGAAAACGATTCATTCCACGTTATGTGACATGGTTTGACGAGGGCTGTAAAAGTTCCAGAGTTCGTCGTTCTGTGTGTATCATAGGTGCAGGTAATCTCCCATACATACCATCACGACCGGAGTTTTTCGCCAACAAATTTGATGATGACTTCGAGCCTATTGCTTACGACTGTACAGAGTATTATGTTATGGAGAAAGTTATACAAGAGATGAAAAGTAATCGGTTGGATGCAAACTTTGATGTCACTGTCTACTCTGACTTACACTGTTCTAGAAATCACACTTAGTTTCGATGAAGAAGTATTTTACTCTTTCAGACAGGATTCCAACCGATTGGCATATCTTGGTGAGAAAGTGTATTTCTCCCTTTTTCACCATTTTTATAAGTATTTCGAAATTTCTTACTCTCAACCTGTTTTCAAAAGCCTCCATACTTCCCTAGAAATTGATTCAGAATTCTATGAAAATTAAAACTTCATACTCTGTAAATAAATTGTTTGGTTATTTTATGATTTGGACTATCATTGGTTCCATTGTTACTCCTTGATGTCCACTAACCCTTTCTCCCTATTGATGCATAGTAATGGTGAAGCATAACAATTGTTCTCTTCATGTGTTACATCACTTCTGTGCATAATGTATGGATATGCTTCGTCTTTATTTCTAACAGACTTCAGTTTCAGACTGATAGGTACATGAGTGCTTTTCACTCCAGTTCATAAATGTAGTTGTACTTAGAATGTAACAGAATTCTTATACAATAATGAGAGTTAGTTTCCGGAGTCTTTATTTGCTCATGTGAATTCGTGTTTCTGCTGTTTGATCATATTGTGCCGAAATGCTCAGTCTCTGTTGATGCGCTGCTTCCTGGTACAGATAAATCGACGATGTCTGAAGATAAATATGAAGCTATGTCCACCCTGGATTCCACTACTAGTCAATGTCAGTCAAGTAGTGTGCCTAGATTGTATTTCTCGAGTACACACCTGATATAAACACTTGTATAAACGACGTGATATCTACTTCAGAGACAAGGAATACTTGACTGTTATTGAAATGAATCATTGCAGTGCATGTGATCCAAAGAAAATGAGACAACAAATGAATCGTGAACACAGACATTTATGTGATAGTGAAGATAAACTTAGGCTACTTTATTCATGATTAACCTTCATATGCACACGAATGGGGAAAAATAAATAAAGTTATTAGCATTAAATAGAGAAACGTCAGTAAAAACAATATCGTTTTGTTTTTCATTCATTGGGAAATACAAAGACCTTTATTATAAAAAATAAATCAAGTTATTCATTGTAATGACTGTTTTTGAAGATCGGATTTCCCCCAGTTGTAGTTACATTTACGCACAACTATTTTTTCGCAAAAGTGCCTTATCAAAAGAAGAGGTGAATGGTCGTAGCCATAGTTGACAATACTAATCAACATCTAAGAGAAGTTGAATAAAGCCAACATGGCTGTGTAACGAGACTAATGTGATGAATGAGTAGCAACCAGGATGCCAATAGAAAGGAAAGAAATTTAGTATTAATCAGGGGTTTGGAGAAATAAAAGACTGAGAGTGAGCTAGAAAAACAAACCAAATTTATTGAAAATAACAGGGTAGTTGCCATGGTAGTAGATGTGGTTAGAGAATTTTAGCATGCATGCAGCACCACAGTCTTTCTAACTGTGTGGCTAGATTTCAAATAATGCAAAGGAGGCAAATGTGTATAGTCTCTGGCAGTAGATTTAGAAACACAGTTGTCGTTGTCAAAAAGTTGTTCATAGTTAATACACCTCTTGAGGAGGTATTTCTACCTTTCTGAAACCTTACATAATAGTTATTGAATTGAATTTTTGATTTTCCCGTCGATTGATTGGACCGAAGTGTTCGGTCTCAGGTTGACATGTCGGCTTCTTGTGCAGATGCTTCGACGATGTCTGGGGATTTGATTTGTATACAATTGGTGGATGGTGGCTAGCAGTGGAATCCACCATCCACCATTTCAAACAAAGTTTGTTTCAAATTCTCGAATGACTTCATTGATTGCATCACTGTGAGATGTCGCCCGAAACACATTTCAAAATACAAATTCATTTATATTTCTAATGTTTATGTCTCTCCTGGCTGTACCATATTGGATTTATCTATGTTCGCCGATGAATTCACCGCTTTTGCTGCAGCTTGCTTCGAGAACTCTTTATCAATAGTAACAGGTGATTTTAATTCATGCGATCACTCCTTCCTTATATCACTTGGTCATGACAATATTGTCAACTTTGCCACCCGTCTTGGTAAAAAATTGGACCTGGTATTTATCAATGATGTTGGTATATATGAAGCTCGCAAACGTGCTCCTCTACTTAATTCTGACCACTGCATCATACGTGTGCTGCCTAAAATATATTCCAAATCACACAAAGGTGTCCTCTCTCACCTCTGCAGTAAAGTTCAACGGAGATGCTACTCAAAAGACAACCTAGACAAGCTCAGATGCATGTTGAAAGACACTAACTGGGACTTATTTACAGAACAAACATTAGATGAAACAATCACAAACACTACTGATTATCTTAAATTCTGTTTCGAAATATGTTGTCCTAAAGAAACATTATTCATCCGATTTGATCGCTTATCTTCGCCATATCTCAAAAAGCTACGTAGAAATAAAGAACTGTTGTTCAAAACTAATGATAAGCCTGGTGTAAAAAAGTTAAACATGCTGATAAAACTGGAAATAAAAAGACTAAGTGTTTTATATAATCAAAGATTTTTGTCATGTAAAACCCCTTCTAATTTATGGAAACTTTTCAAAGAAATTACTAACGGTAAGCGATGTATTTCTGTTCCATCTCTTAATGTTGACACTCTTAATAAATCTTTCATACGCTCTTCTGTTGATACCCTTCCAAATGATACAAATCATATTGACAATAACTTTAGTGGTTTTAATACCCTTGATGTGCTTAAATGTCTCCGGTCTCTTAAGCCTTCTCAAAGCCTTGGTCCTGACGGCATACCTGCCATTGTCCTCAGGAATTGTGCTGATATTTTGTGTTATCCTCTTACTAACATTTTTAATGCCTCTTTTTCCGGTAACGTTCTACCTTTTGCATGGAAAAACATTAAAATTATCCCTATACCAAAACCATCTTCTGGTTCTGATATTAAATTTCGGCCTATTGCAATTACTTCCCCCTTTTTAAAATTGATGGAAAAATTACTTTTACTTCGTCTTGAACCCGCTTTGAAACCTTTTAATGATCCTAAACAATTTGCATACAAACATGGTAGAAGTACCTTGGATGCTGCGGTTGTCTTGTATCACAATGTTGTCTCTTGTTTAGACAAAGGTGCTAAATATGTTCGTAGTGCTTTCTTAGACTACACATCTGCTTTTGACTCTGTACCTAGGGGCCTTTTATTAAATAAGCTATCATTGACACAAACAGGATCCTGGGCTAAGAGTTGGTTGCATTCCTATTTTTCTGATAGAATGCAGTATACTGTATATAACGGCAAATCTTCTTCTACCTCGCTTACAAAATCCGGTGTTCCACAAGGTGCTGTCCTCTCTCCTTTTCTTTTTTCTTTCTTCCTACATGACCTGCCTCATTCAAACGAAACTAACTTTGTCAAATATGCAGATGATCTGACTGTATCACTGCCTATCACTTCCGAGTCTGACAGCTCCAAACTTAATAGCTTTCTGTTGGACATCAACAACTGGTCCAAGTCAAATGGTCTTATATTAAATCCTTCCAAATGTCAGGTGCTTGACTTTACTTTCAAGCATCGACGTGACTTACTTGAACTAGTTAACTCTCATGATCCCTGTAGCATAGATGGCACGGAAATTGAAACCAAATCAAGTATTAAATACCTTGGACTAGTTTTTTCCTCTGACCTTTCATGGTCATCCCATATCTTATCTATCTCTAAGAAAATGTTTCGTCTTACCTTCTACATTAAAAAGTTAAGACAATCAGGTATCAACCAACCTTTAGTTTTGCAATTTTTAAACTCCTGTATTTTACCTATTGTACTCTACTGCTCTCCATTAATCTTTCCTGGGCTGCTCAAAAAAGATTATATCATATTACGAAGAGTATTAAATGCTGTGAGTAGAGCTTGTGGTCTGCCACTGCATGAGCTCGCTAATACTATAGTCGAGAGGCATATAAATTCCTGTACGAAATGGGCAAAGGCTATAATGTCAGACCCTCTGCACCCCCTTTATTCACACCTGTCCCCTTGTATCTCATCAGGTAGGACGAGAAGTCAATATAAAAAGATATATGCTCGTACTACTAAGTATAGAAATTCTACAATACCCTATTTAGCGCGTACTTTATGTGACGAAGACTCTGTTAGACGTGAAACTTACAAGTTACTATGTAATTAGCACAGTGAATCGACCCTTTTATCGCTCATCTTTCTGTATTTTATGGTGTTACACTTTCTATCGTTTAAATCGTTACTCTGCTATTTTATATTAGTTGGTATTACTATTATTACTACAATTTTGTACTTTATACATATTTTTCTCCGTATGGCACACAGTATTTTGCTACGTAGCTGCTACAACAATATTATTATTACTATTATGTATTGTGTATTTTTAATTTTTTTTGTCGTTTTTGGGTAAATTAGATGCAATATTGTACTGAATGCTGAAAATTCCTTGCTGTATCATGAGTACTGTTTTTGGAATAAAGCAATTATTATTATTATTATTATTATTATTGTATACAAATCAAATCCCCAGACATCGTCGAAGCATCTGCACAAGAAGCCGACATGTCAACCTGAGACCGAACACTTCGGTCCAATCAATCGACGGGAAAATTAAAAATTCAATTCAATAATTAATATATGACCCGTTGCACAAGAGGTGGCTCTCGTGGCCCAAGTGGTCTAGTGGATAACGCTTTAGCGTTTGAAACTATGGGCACTGGGTTCGAGCCTCGGTGGGAACATCATCACTCACTGAGAAATGCAGGTACATCCAGATGACGAGTCCCAATCAGGACGAAATGCGCATCCTGGATTCCACTGCTAGCCACCATCCACCAATTGCTTACATAATAGTCTTTAAAACCCTCTAAGACAGAATCTGCGTTGACCTACTGATATATCGGAACCCACAGAAGTGGATAATCTGATGTATGCGCACAGAATAGGTCAAAGACTAGGACTTGTCTTCCAGGCTTCTGTAGACCAGTGGGAAGCTATAAAGCAATACACTAAGTGTTCTTGCGGAAAAAGTCCTTCCTAAATGCATTGGACGCAATTCACAATGAAGATAATTAAATTTCGTTTCCACCTAGTTGGCATCCAGCTATCGAAACCTGTCAGCTGGTTGTTCCATGTTGGTTTCACATGGACTATGCTTCTAAATGCACCGCCAGCTCTTCCCGTTAGTTCAAAATCATGAATGAAAATTTAAGATTCATTATACATTTCAAGAGTTTGTAAAGTTTGTAAACACCTGTAATAGTTGAATATACTCATATTCTTTTCCACACATAATCAAACTGTCACACACTTGCCCTGTACGCAGTTGGAAATAACAAATATTTGAATTTATTAGACCGCTATGCGAATTTACCATAAAAAACACGCTTCTAGTATTCGAACCAACGAATATCCGCTTACAATCACATCATTTTCCCTTTAGTGTCACGGAATGTGAATGGTACATTAGCGGTGAATATCAGTCACAGTTCCGTCATATAATAAATAATAATAATTTTTCATTCACGTTCCCAGTGGAACATAGGGCTTCAAGCTAGTGGCTTGAAGTTTCTGTAGCAGTGTTTATTATTTTACAGGATGGGATTGCTAGCCTCATGCCCAACACTTCTTCTTTACCAGCATTATTTCTGGCATAGAGAGGTAAAGGAATGCGTCGGCCGGAAATCGAACCCGGACCATATGCATGGCTGGCGAGCGTCCTAATCACTCTGCCACCAACGCACAAAGCCGTGTGCGCCGGCCGGCAGCCAAACCCGGGTCGCAACTGTGAGAGATTTCCATGATACCGCTACCGTTATATATACTATCAGAATTCCGAAGTTTAACTAGTTGTCGCCTAGATATCAGCAAATAAGTAAACGGTTTCTGTAAGTGCAGCATTGAGGAAGAGTGATTCGATGTCAAGAGATAGTATAACTTTAATAAAGGTATTCATATACCGCATGCAGTCGTCAAAATGGAAATGTTGTGAAACAAGCACATACAAATATGTTTTCTAACAGGTCCTAAAGTATCTCCTGACGATAATCCATCCGAATGATAGAAGATCTAGACAT